AGAGAGAGAGACAGAGAGAGATAAAGGAGGAAGAGGAGAGAGGAGGGCCAGGGATATAGCTCAGTGGCACAAGTGCCTGCCTGGCAAGCTCAAGGTCCTGAGTTTGATTCCCAGTAACAAAAAAAGAAAGAAGAGAACAGACAGCAGGAGGAGAGTGGGAGGGAGAGAGAGGCAGAGGCAGGCAGACTGGGGTGGTATGTGAATGTCAGGGTGTACAGAGAGGTATAACTTAAACTGTAAAGGTATCAAAGGAAATGTCCATATGGTATAAGGATTATCCTCCCATGCAAGACTTCAGAGAAAGAGGTAAAAGAGGGAAAATTTAGTTTGGGTCTAATATTCATTAACAGTCCTTAGTGAGAGCTACTTAGTACTCAAACCTAGTGACTGTGCATAAAACAGAAGCACAGAAGGTTGATTTTCCTATTGGTCTGACATGGCTATGATACGTAACTCTTTTTTCTAACGCTCAACTTTTGAAGTAGCGTGCTAAGATAGCATGGTTATCTAGGGGTAATTTGAGACAGTTGCCTCAGCCCTACAGATTTCCTTAGGAACACATTCACTCAGCACCTGTTTGCCACTGTGTGAGGCTATTCTGGAGAAATAGAGTGGAGTCATTCTTAGGTTTTGAAACACACCAAGTAGGTTAAGGGGTAGAGGAAATGCCTTTCTTTTCTCTTTAGAACACAATCAACATCATTGCTATCAATATGCAATGGAAACTTGTAGCCTCATCTCTAGACTGAGACAACAGTCTTAAAGCAAGGGCAGTTTGGAAATCTTTGCTGCTATAGTGTACCTGCCAGGCAAAGCCCTCAAAGAAGACAATTCGACTTTGGGGACCAAGTGTATGCTTCTAGGCAAGGGTGAGAGTAGCTTAGTGAAAGCAATGGCTTAGCACTCAAGATTTGTAATAATGAGCCACCATTTACAGACCACCTAGTATGTCTCAGCTAAAGTATTAATCACTCTTCATATATGCTCTCTATTTTGATGACAATTTTTAAGTTAGCTATCACCCTACCATCTTTACAAATGAGAAAGAGAAGCACAAGGAAGACATGATTTTCACTGCAAAACTAGTATTCCAAATTAAATATATCTGATTCTGAATATACTGTATATAATCTACTTACTTACCTCAGTTTATGGTGATACATAATTTACTATATACCAGGTACCCTATTAGACATTTTCCAGATATTCTCACCGTCACAGAAACCTTTACAACAAAATCATTTGACCAGGTGCTTATCCTAGTCTCTCAAACAGGACAAGGACTCCATCCGTTGAATGAGCAAATTACTTGAACTACTAGGTGATTACTGAAAATATGAAAAGCAGTTTTTATGAATGCGGTAATCAGCTTTCTTTGGAAGTTATTCTTCTAAATGTCTCAAAGTCATGGATCATTTACTTTGGAAAGCTAGATGGTGAACTGATTTTCTCTTGCAGATTTGTTAATATAAGGAGAGAATTTCCAACATGAGGATTAGGCTGAGGAAATCCAGTGACCCCTAGTTATATAACTTCTGCCATCGTAATTTGCACTAGTTTATTGTCAAGACCACCCAACTAGAAATCAGAAGATCTGAACTCAAGTTCTGGTTCCATTTTTAAGCTACTAATCCAACAAATTTGTTAACCTCTTTGAGCTGTATCATGTGAAATGGAAATAATAATAGTCACTATTATTCACACAATTGTTTTTATGTATATATATATATATATATATATATATATATATATATATATATGAAAAGGTTCTGTATCTTATAAAATGAGATATATGAAGTATTTGGAAATTGTGTTGGAAGACTGAACTTTGAATCTCTATCAAACATGTGACATCAAGACATCCAGTTGAGTAAGTGGTAAGAATTAAAACAGCTTTCTCTTTCTTTTTTTTTTGCCTCCCTGTAGTTTTTCTCCCTGCCTGAACTCTCAGTTTTGGCACAGTACATATCCAGCCAGAGTCCTTGGGCTTTCTTCCCAGTGATCTTAATGGCTAGTCAACCTCAGGTTCTCAAACTGGGAAAGTGTTAGAGATGATCTAGTGGCTGCAACTGAGCCATGTGAGTTAGAAATACAAACTAGGGGCTTAATGATGAACATGTAGTATCTTCAATAGTAGTAAGAGCATGGTATAACCCAAGTGGTCTTTGATGAAGCTTTGGCCTCTCACCATAAAGCTCAGAGTTACAGAATGGGTGAGACACCACAGACTACAGGAGAGTACCTGGGCCTGCTTCTTTCCGGCTGTGTAACTGTATAACACCTCTTCTCAGAACTTGCTTGTCTTTGCAAAATAAGGAAAACAGATCCTACTTCATAGGATTTTATAAGAATCAAATCAGATAATAAAAAGGAAAATGTCCTATTGACTAAAAATTTCCATTGACTACTAACTATTGTTACAGGAGCAAGTTAATCTTTGACTCCATAGGTTACTGATGTTTCAAAAGAATCCTTTAATCACATAATCTCAGGATTAGGAGACGCTTTAAAGAGCATATGCTTCACTGGTTTTCAAACTGTGTTCCCTGGAGCCACAAGATTCTGCAAGAATGATCTGGGAGTTTACCTGGGATAATAAAGGAGAGTTTGAGCTAGGAGGGCACGGGTAAAAGACTTTAAATTAACCTGTTACACTTGCATCTGTGTACAATGCTTTTGAGAAATGAAGCATTTGGCTGATGAAGGAAAGTTTGTGAATCTGTGGACAGAGGCTTTCTACACTTCTGTAAACTGTAATGTTTTCATAATCAGACTGGTTTAAATGATACCTTAGAAAGACACTAAGTTTCCCACCAATGAGTAAACTTTCCCTATAGTGTGAGAGTGAGAACTGCATGAGTTAATGGGTGCTTGCTCCCTAGGTGTGTTCACTAAATATAACCTCCTTTATCCCATGCACTCATTTTCATTTTCCTTACCAGGCAAGGCTTTGGCCCACTTGACCACATGCACAAGCTGTCTCTCTCCCAGTTCATTGAGGCTAGAGAGCAAGGCTGCGAAGGAGTCAGGTTGGTTGTTGTCATGTCCAGCACACACCACACCTGGCTCAATAGCTTCTAGGACATTCAGGAAGATGGGCTGACACTCATAGCCTTCAATGTGTGATACTGTCATCTTCTGGCATGGCTCCTCAGTGGGGCTGCTGGTGCTGGAAGCTTCTCCTTCTTCCTGTAGTTTTAAATTGCCAAGTTTCTTCAGCTTACGGGCTATTGGGAAGGAAGAAAAACTTGAATTTATCATCAGTAGCCAAAACCACATAGCAGAGCTACACTGGTAGGAAAACCGCCTGATCTAAGAAAATGAAGATGTTCCTTCTCCTCAATCACAGGTGCTAAACTCCCTAAGGTCAAGTGCTCACTCAACACTGTTTGAATGAATGATTCATCATCCCAATGCTGTTAACCTACTACACACTGTTGGATTTGGTTATGCTTGAATGCAACCTTCAGTATTGAAACCTGGGGCCTTCAATTAACTTATTTATAAAAATGTTCCTCATTCATTTATTCATTCAGTGCATATCCACTGTCAGCTTTTTGTTTCTGGGTGGAAGAAAGGACATAAGCCCTGCCTCTGTCTGCTAGAGCAGAAATAAATGCCCACAAACAATTCTAGAAAATATCAAGATGGTAAACAAATGCTGCAACAGATGCACTAATATGAAAACAGTAATCTTTCTGAATGGGTACAGTTAGGAAGTCATTTACATCAAAAGTAGCATTTGACCAAGAGCTTATTAGACTGATGAGGATTATACCAGGCAGAGATGGGTGGAGAAGGCATCATAAACAAAAGCACTGAGGAGTGCTTAGGGGAACAACTAGAGATCATTGTTGTTGGCATGCATATTATATATATGGGGGAGCTATTTATAAGGTTGAAAACAATTAGCAATAATAGTGCCTCGGGTCAACCTCATTGGCTATGATACTGCCACTGTGCAAAGCTTGAGGTTGAACAAAATCGGGGACTGATTTCAAATACAATCAGGCTCTATCTTAGGGGCAAGATACAAATATCGAATGTTGTAAATCAAGGAAGGGATATAAATATGTCTATGTCTAATATGTCCAGAAGACTGCTAGGGGAAAGATAAGGAGGGCAGACACATTAAAGAAGGACTAGATTTGATCCATGGATTACTAGGGGTATCAAAATGTACAATAACTTGGAATTTAATTCTCCCCAGTTCACACACACACACATAGAATGGTTGCCTGGCACTTACATTCCTGTGGATGATCACAGACCAGATGGCACAGTGGTTGAAGTTGTATACATCAAATAGAAATGAGGTAATATTATACATAGACCCTTGAAGTTCTCATATCTTCACACTACTAAATCCTATTACTCCACTTTGGGAACATTGAACAGGAATTTTCTGGTGTTCTATTTACCACTGAACATTTTAAAGAGCTTCAAATGTCAGAATTATACCCATAGCTGAACACAAACTATGACATGCATATGCATGTTGATTTTCTTCTTTAGCCAAAGAGAAAGGGGAAAGGGGAAAAGTGAAGCACTGAAATCCCTAACTGTAGCAAAGCAATGACAAAATGTCTCTGTCTCCACCGTCTATCTGTAAAATGGGAATCAGGATAGGAAGCAGCCATTAGAAAGGATGTTAGAAATAACATTATTTACAATAAACATAACAATCTTAAACCCAAATCTTAAGAATTATCATTTACAAATATGTGTGAATGCACACACACACACACACACACACACACAATTATAAAGATCTTTGGGTATCCTATTTATTTTGTGCTATTTTCCCTAACATTTATATAATAGAATATAAATAATTTAGAAGGTCATAACTCAAGTGCAGTATAAGCACATACATCAGAAGCTGACCACAAACTACTCTTCCTCTAATTCTTTTGAAATAATAATAACAATAATAATAACAACAACAACAATAATAGAAGAGAGTTTGAGTCTTAGTTTAAGTGGATAAATACAATAAAACCTACTGCTTATCTGTTTCTGGCTCCTGTAGAAAGAAATGATACATATCTGGAACTTGCTTTCAGCTCTAATTAGAAAAGCAAGTCCTTCAATATAAACACAAACTAGTGTCACTCAGTGGAGCACACGTTTGCAGCAGCAACGAGGGTGGGGAAGGGGAAATGGTGGGGTACGTGGTACAAGAGGAGCACAGAAAAGGACTGACGGGGCAAATAACAAAGAAGCCCAGAAAACCAACCTTGAGTGCAAGATGACCTTGTCCAAAAATCATTTCTGCAGGGATTGGACACAGTCAGTAATAAAAAGATATGTACAGCTACTGCCAACTCCCACATTCCACCAAAAGCACAGGCTGTAAGGTATGATCTGGGCCAAGCCAATCTTTGTCCAGAGCTAGAAGCCTGTCCCCCATGCTATCTCATCATCTGGTGAACCCATTATTAGCACGAGTTCTTATACACAGCTCTACAAGCTGGTTATACCTACAGGGTTTGTTGCCTTGGTAAAGTTCCTACAGGCAGGCTGTACCCTCCCCATCACTTGCACTTTCTTGCCTTGACCTCAAGAACTACCAGACCGTTGGGGCTGGGGATTTAGCTCAGCGGCAAAAGCGCCTGCCTAGCAAGCGCAAGGTCATGAGTTCGGTTCCTGGTACCGGAGAAAGACCAAAAAAGAACTACCAGACCGTGTAGCACCTATTCTAGCCTGCTGGAGGACAGAAGTATAATTTACCCTGTACTTGAGGTAACTAAGAGAAATAAGAGTACGTACTATTTTTTAAGGGCCTTCTATTATGTCTCAATTCACTGACACCTTATATCATTAATCCCACAGTGTTCTTAGGGGGCTGGATATATTTCTGATTCTTGGTTTGAAACTGTGTAAACTGAGGTAGCACAGCTGTCAAGAAAGATAACTCAATAATCTAAACTTGCAACTACACATTTCATGTTCGTTCTACTACATAATGTTGTTTCTCTCAAGGAGTCTGAAACTCTAAGTCCTATATTTTTAGACTAAAAGTAGAGTTGAGGAATGGGTCTGGGGATATGCATATTTCCTGCTTCCCATTTTCACCCTTGTCTCCAAACTTTAGTAACTGGTATCACATCCAGAAAGGAAGAGACAGGAAATCTCCAGTCACCTGCCTAAATGGAAACAGACTTGAGATAGTAGATAGTACAGCAACTTAAAGACTCACAGAATGACAAACAGGAAGTGTCCTTATAAATCATCATCCAGGGTCATAAAATTAAATACCTTTATAGAGTATATGCATAAATAATACAGTGGGTGGGTGTATATATATATATATATATATATATATATATATAATGTGCATATGCATGTATGAGAAAGGTTAACACTCTGGTGAACTGGAATGAATGAACTTACTAGTTATTGCCTTCCCACCTCTAGAAGGAAGTAATATAATATATAAAAATGTCCTGAAAATCATGTATTGTAAAGCTGAATTCAGTCTTTAGCCATAATTCTGGGACTTCTGACATTAGTCTAAGTCAAAGATAGGGAGGCTGAAGCTAAAGAGGACAAAGCAACCTAATGGCTGAGCTGGAATAAGCATGAGAGTTTTTATTCCTATTTTAAAACTCCCTATGCCACATTGGCTTTCTCTTTGATTAACTCATTTCTGCCCTGTCTCGGTATGTGCCTCTTTGAGATCATTCTAGATGTCAACTGTACAACAAACTAGCCATGAGCCATGTGCAGCTATTTAAATTAATTAATGTTAAAGAAAATGAAAATATAATATCTCACTTTCACTGGACATTTCACCAGTGTTCAAAAGTGCTACTAGATTGGACAACACAGATGTAGAACATTTCCATCATCTCAGAAAGTTCTACTAGGTAGTGCTGCAAATATAGGCTGCCCCGTGGAGCAGCTGTTCCATTTGCCATCCCGTAATAAAACTATTGATAAAGAGGAAAAGAATCCAAATAAATCACACATAGATGAGTCTATGGGCTTCAAAAGGTAGAGAGACACACAGAACAACTGGTGCTGGTGGAATCAGTGAAATATGATTTCTTGCCTCAACTTTCCCACCAGTGAATTAGAGCTCAGTTGGGTCATGACTTGTGGACCTAAGCAAACTTATTACCAGCAAGATCAGTATGTGCAGATACTATGGGAACGAATCCATCAAGGTTAAATAATTCCCTTTCTCTGTGTAGTGCCTATGAGAACTTGGCTGGCTTTTTCACATCCTCTTCTGCCAGAATGAAAAGGCACAGCTTGAGGAAGGCGGGCAGCATTTCCACTTGTTTACAAGACCCACATAATATGCTGTCCCTGTAGCCACAGTGGCTCAAGCCGCACCAGGTGTTCTAGCCTGTCTATCTAAAGAGGAGGACTGTACTGAACATAATTGAAATCAGATTCCGTTCATTCTGCCAAGGGATCCTCTGTTCTTTCTCTGTAGCAGAAGGCAACATGTTGCTTGATGGTTTGGAATACTGGACAATGAGGCTTGCTACTCATAACTATTATTCAGTGCCCAAGGTCTTGTTTACTTCTATGAAGGCCGCCCCCACACCCCCCTTCCCCTGCAGCTGAGCCCCAGAGTCAAATCTAACTCTCCATGCGAGGTACAGGCCAGCCAGCTAATGCAGCAAAGCAGAGATTCGCATAAACTGAGTGGTGTGAATTGAAGAGATAGGGCACCTTAAAAGTACATAGTTCTAATGGTGTGGAAATTGCTTTGCATCTCCACTTTGTCTTTTTTAGGTCAGAACAATGACAAGAAAGGACCCTGATAAGGTTCTTCCCTGTCTCTACCTGCTCTTTACAGGACTGGAGCACCAGGCCTGATATACCCAGATCCTATGGGAAGCTTACTTTTCCACCCTGGCAAACTAGACACCTGTAGAAGTTATTTGTACAGCACTAGAGAAAGATTTTTCACATCCCCTTCTATGGCTGAATTTTAAGGGTAGTTATCTTTGATGGGCTTGACCTAATCAGGTGAGATTAAAAGGTACTGGGCTTTTCTTGTAAAGACATTCAGTGAGTCTTGAGAGGGATTAAACACAAGGGAGACTTTCTTTTGCTGGCTTTAAAGGTGTTGGGACCCACAGACAAAGAAAGAGGGTATATTCTTGGAGATGAGAGTAGGCCTTCGCTGATAATCAGAAAGGAAGCAGGAACAGAAACCTGTAGTCGGGGCTGGGGATTTAGCTCAGCGGCACAGCGCCTGCCTGGC